GTATGTTGGGGGCGGATGCTGGGAGTTCACCGGTACCCCGATAGGGAACATTCTGACCTACTCTGCAGCTCCCAAGCACCTTCCTTCGGCTGTCCCCTCCTGTTGCTTAGAGGGGCAGACCACGTAGCAGCCCTGCTGCTGTCACCAGGTCTTTGGCTTTCCCTTGGAAGGAGGTTTCACGTCCGCACTGTTCTTGTCATGTCCGCACACCTCCAGGAAAGCCAGTGCCCTAGAGGGAGCACACGTTGCACTGGGCTTGGCAGGCCCATCTCTGTGTCTGTGAAGTGACAGTAACAGCTCTTCAGAGTAGAAGGGCTCGGTGAGATGCCAGGTGGCAACACAGGCTACAGGCGGGAGGCATGGTTAGCGTGGATGCTGGGCCTTCCGTCCCTTCTAATTCTTTTCTTCAGGGTCCACATGGAGTGACGCCAGGGAGCTTGAGATGTCTGCTTGAGGCCAGTGTCCATGGAGGACTGGATGGACCTCAGTGCACCTGCTGTCTTCTCACCACAAGTGTGTCCACCCTTCCATGGCTGTGAACTTCCGGAGGGGTGCTCTTGTTCATCTTTGGACCCCCAAAGCTGTCACACCACACCTGACGTGGTGCTAGGTGGCCACAGAACCATCATAAGGAAGCTGAAAGAACCTCTGATTTCAGAAATTGAGAAGTTCCAGAGACAATAGCCAAACTTTGAAGTGTGGCAGACCCAGCTCAGATGGTGGCTCATCACTCACGAGTGTGACCTAGAGCAAGATGGTTCATCTCCCTGAGCCTCAGTTCTCTGGCCAAAAATAGACACACTAATAGCTACCTCTGCAGGTTGTTGTGGGGATTAGAGATGATGTCAGAGACAAACCCCAACACGCCACAGCCCAGCGCGTAGTAGGAGCTCGGTAAACGGAAGCAGTGACTACCTGTGGCACAGGATTGTTTGTGCCCTGCGCTCACCAGTGACACACAGCTCTTGGAGCCATAGCAAGTGACATGCAGCCCTTGGGGCCCCGGGGACTTCTCTTGCTTTGTTTTTCACGAGTGTGGGGTCTCGCCATGGTTTGTTCTGCAGTGACAATATCAGATCTTGACTTAGTAGCCTCACCCGCCATCCGCTGTCTGTTGTCTTCTTGTCTGTTGATGATGGGGGCTGGGGTAGAGATGGGGAGGGCCATGTCCTGCCAGCTCAGGTCAGCGGCTGGGAGTGAAACAGATGATGACACGGAGACCCAGTCACCGCCACTCACAGCTCTGGCCACCTTTACCATTCCTGCTGACATTTGAGACAGGGTCTCGTGGTGTTTTAAAAGTTTGGTTTGGATAGGAATGAATGCAATCATTTTATAGAAGTCCCTCCATGGCTTTACGGTCCATGGTTTCAGGTTCCAGGTTCACTACAGTTAAAAAAAAAATAATGGAAAATGATGTATCTTAGATGAGAGGGAGGAGAGGGAAGGGCAGCAAGCGCACGTCCATACAACTTTATAGACTAGTAGAGACAACTGGCTAACAAACACTGTGACCCCAAAGAAAGCTAGGACGATCCAGTTTGTTATGTTTTTAAAACTACATTTATTTATTTGTGTATGCATGGAGGTCAGAGGACACCTCACAAGAGCCAGTTCCCTCCTTCCACTGTATTTGTCCTGGGGATTGAACTCAGGGAGTCAGGTTTGGTGCAAGTGCCTCTCCACACTGAACCGTCTTCCTGGCTCCAGAGATCCAGTCTGTAACATGCCTGCCTTCTCCAGCCTGGATCTCTATTCTCCATTAATCCTCTGCTACTGGTTCTGCTATGGCCCCCTTATGTCTCCAGCCTGGTGTCGGGGAGCTTAGGAGAGGGTAGAGTGGAAGACATTGGTGCATCAGAAGAAGCCAAGAGAACAGCTGTCCAAACAGGATCCAGTAACTTAGGGAGGGGCTAGCAGGGGCGGGAAGGAAGCATGTTGGTTTTGGGCAAGAGAATGGGACAGCTTAGGCTGGGTGTCTGCCACCACCTGGGAGAGTAGATCCGGAGGATGGGTCATAGAACCCCTTCCCACAGGAAGTCAGGCCCTCACCACCCCAACCACAGCCGGGCACAACATCCCAACTCATCCCACACTTTACAGTGTTTCCTTCTCATTTTGTCCATTCACCAACATTTCCTCCCAGGTCCGCCTTTTTAGGGATGGCCATTATATCTGGAAGTCATGGTCACAGTACTTTTACCCGGTCTCATAGGATTGTGGGTGAAGGAACCTTGGAGATTACTTTTGCCCTGCCTGTAATCCCTGGAATGGGGCCTTGTAGCCATTCCTGACAATGGCTCTCCAGGCTTTCTCAGCCAACACTCCCATGGCCAGGCCAGGCCAGGACTGGAAGACTCTTAAGTTCTTTAATGGTGTCGGCACCCATCTCGCTCTGGTATCTCACTGGTCCAGGCCCTGTAGGAACCATCTGAAGAAACTTTACCTCCTTGGCTGACAAGCTGGTTCAGTGAAGATAGGTTTTTGTCACCAAGTCTGAATACCCTGACCTCTAGCATGGTAGAAAGGAATGGCTGGCTCCTGAAAGTTGTCTTTGGGTCTCTGTGTACCCCTGTGCACATGCATACATATGCACACAAATAAGTAGGTAAAATATAATAAAAAGCTGGGAGTTGGTACACGCCTTCAGTCCCAGCACTCTGGGGGGCAGAGGGAGACGAGTCTCTGTGAGTTTGAGGCCAGCCTGGTCTGCAGAGTGAGTTCCAGGCCAGTCAGAGATACATAGACCCTCTCTCAAATAATAATAATACTACTAATAATAATAATAATAATAACTTTTTAAAGAGAGTTTCTTTCCTCCTAGTGACATGACTTTTTCCTAGCCTGCCTCTCCTCAAGGGCCTTTTTGCCAGCGTCAGGCAGCCTCCTCTCCGCTGTGATTTGTCAGGATGCTTTCTTCAGAGGGTCCCTGAAGTAAGGCCTCAGACTCTTCAGAGCAGAAAGGGACTTTCGAACTTAGGATCCACACATTTTGTAGATGAGGAAACTGAGTGGCTGCCTAAGGTCTCACAGAGAGTGGAGAGGGCTGAACCAGCCCTGCCTCTTGATTAAGGCCCAGAAGGTATTCAGAGTTGAGGCAGCAATGCTTCATCTTCCTTTGTTTGTTTATTTTCTAAGAGTTAGGCACAGCCTTCCAACTGAGCTACACTTTCTAGTCTTTCCTTTCCTTTCCGTGAGTTCACGAGCATTTCCATAGCCCTACTAACTTGGGAATGGCCCTTAGACCGGAAGTCATGACCTCCCTTCATACCAAAGCCCCGAGTTTATCTCCTGCTCTCTCACACTAACCCTGCTCACCAGGCCGGCCTCCAATTTCAAATCCTCCTGCCTCAGCCTCCAAATATTGAGACTATGGGTGTGTGACCCTATAACCAGTGGAGACCACACTTTTTTGTTGTTGTTGTTTTGTTTTTGTTTTTCGAGACAGGGTTTCTCAGTAGCTATGGAGCCTGTCCTGGAACTTGTTCTGTAGACCAGGCTGGCCTCGAACACAAAGAGATCTGTCTGCCTTTGCCTCCCGAGTGCTAGGATTAAAGATGTGTGCCACCACCACCCGGAGAGACCACACTTCTGAGGTTGCACTGTCTGTTTTTTACGGGGAGCCCACACCTTATTAACCTATTGAACGCTGCCTCATTTGCACCACTGTGCAGTTTTCTGCTAGCAGTGTGTACAGACTTGGCACAGGCAGGGTTGGGCTGGGTGACGCTAATCTGACCCTACTCTTGGCCGCGAGACTCCCCTTTACTGGGCTTGAGGACAATGACAGAATCTACCCGAGGCTGCCTACAAAGTCAGGTGAGGTCATCTGTGTAAAGCATTTCCTGTGCCGGGACCAGCAAGTGCTGTGTGGTCTCCTAGGAGCTGACTGGATTCTTTTGTCCCTTCTTTGGGGATATGTGGTTCCTTTCCCTTTGGTTCCACCCTGACAAGCAGTTGGGAAGGGGCTAGGATAAGTGCCCCAAGTGTTTATCCAGAGCTAGGGGCCCCGAGCCCATGCAGATTCTAGGTGGGATACCTGAGCATTAGGCAGATGAAGAAACCCAAGAGAGGCCCCTACTGCCATCCCCTAGATCAGAACAGGCTGCATTGGGGTCAGAGATACATACAGACCACCTGAGACCTAGCTCAGTCCAGCTGGATTCCTTTTTATTATTGTTATTTTGAGACTGGGCCTCACACCACCGTCCAGCTTATTGAGTAGCTGGGACAGCTTCAGCTTCTGACACACCTGTGTTGTTTTGTTGTTGCTGCTGCTGCTGTTGTCTGAACTCCTAAGAGATTACAGGTATCACAGCTCCCAGCTCAGGCTAGGGCAGGCTCTCTGTAGCCCTGGCTGGCCTAGAACTCAATCTGTAGATCAGGCTAGCTCAAACTCAGAGATCCAGCTGCCTCTCCATCTCCTGAGTGCTGAGGTTAAAGGGCTTGTTGCCAAGCCCAGCTTAGGTCAGGATCTTGTTTTGACATAAACCTAGTGACTGAAAAAAGGCTTGGCAACACACAGCAATTGTTTTAATGAATTTCTCTGCGTGAAGGAAAAAGTCCAAGAGGAAAACACAAACAAACCCCCAGAAATCCAGAAAATATCAGTTCTCTGACTTACTAGTTGGATAGGTTATAAAACAAGACAAACGACACTAGCTTACGGTGGCCTTGGACTGGCAATGAACTTAAGGATATAGAGATGTAAACACAGTACTTTCTGACATGCGGTTCTTACACTCAGAACGTAGGAGGATGAACAGCCCAGACACACCAAGGTAAAATAAAGTGAATCTCCGTATCAATCTCTACTGAGTCCAGAGATAGTCTCAGAAGATTCTGTTCTCCTGAGTGAGCCCGAGGCTGGGGCAGATCCTGGGTTTGAGCACACACTGCACAGAGGAGGCAGGGAGGTTGTACTGTGTTTGGCTTTCGGGGGCTTCCCAGCCTGTCATGTTCTGGGCCTGTCTTATGCATCTGTCTCTCATTCTCTGCAGGTTGCCTGTAACTCCTTGGACCCAAAAGACGCATACCCTTTTGACCTACAACCCTTTTCTGGTCTCAGCAGTATACCCAAACACACCAGTGGACAAAGACCCCCTCCCCCAGAGGAGCCACTCAGTCCAGAGGCATTTGGAAAACAAGACGACAGAGACCTTTTATTAACTATCCAACAGGCTCCCTCTCAAAGTTTCTGGTATGTGGATTATTATTCTGTCTCAAATTTTGTTGCTGCTAAAGAATTTTTGACTTAGCCGGGAAAAAACCCAGATTGTTGGCCTGTTGCTGCCTTTGTCTTAGCACTTCAGATGGTGGACTTGGACTTGGTGTCAAAAAATCACTAGCGCTTCTGGCCGAGGAAGTCAGTAGGACCCGCCCCCAGCGTAGCCACACCCAACAGTCAGCTGTCCTCAGGCTCACCAGGAAAACTGGGGCCTGGAGAAGGATGTGGAAGGAGGTGATGCCAGGGAGGGAAGAGAGAGGTGAGGCACTGTCCATGGGCAGGGCAGGAGGAAGGTCTTTAATGGAACATCTCAGAGAACAGGGAGGGTCTGCATCACCACCCCCAGATCCTAGGCACAGAGGAGGTTTGAAATGTCCAGGATAAATAGAACCAGTGGGGTTGGAGAAAAAGCCAGCTCCATCCCCTTTAAAAACAATCTTACTGTGGACACCAAAAATATATTAATATCTGTACATTTGTCATCTTTAAAAAAGGCAATAAAACCTCCTTGGCACCATGTAGTTGGCTTGTTAAGAGTGAGGTGATATGGAAAGGCCATGAGTGCACATTCAGATGTGACTAAATCACACATAAAGCCGTGTGACACACACGCAAGCACGCACATGGCTGTACACATGCGGGGCTCTGATGAAAAGGCAGAGCCCTTGGAACCCTGAGAATTAGCCCTGCAGGCATGTGAGCCACTGCCAGCCCCACCGCAGCCAGCCCCACCAGGCAGTAGTTCGCAGGGATGCTCTTTGCTGGGGTCAACTCTGCAGTCCATGGGGATCCATTGCCCGACTTGTACTCCAGTTCACCTCTCGACACATCTCCAGCGTCCTGCCACAAGGAAGCAAGGTCTGGCTCTGTAAGCAGCTCTCTCTAATCACTTGGCCTCGTGCCCACTCAGACACAGGCACCCGTCGTCCCGGGCTCAGAAGGACCCCGCCTGTAAGACAGACTTCCCAAAGTGAGCACAAGACAGTGCCTGAGTGCGCAGGTGTGCCTGGCATGAGGCACCAGGGCTCTGGTCTTGATCCCTGGTGTTCTGGCAAGAGATTGCAGGAAGGTGAACCCACTAGGCAGCAGGGAGTGAATCCCGTCCTTCCTGCAGGCCTGTGCTGCTCAGAGGTGGGGGCTGCCCTGCAGCAGGGAAGTGACAGTGTTCTGCAGGGCCACAGCTACTTTCTTGGAGGTCTTGCGTAGCAGTGGGCTGTCGGGGTGGTTCTCCTTGAGGTGCAGGACGTGACCCTCCTGACTCTCAGAGGTGCAGCCGCACTCCTCACACACATACAGCTTGGCCCGGCGCTCCTTGTACGCGTACTTCTGCTGCACGCCGTGGATCTTCTTGAGGTGGGACTCCAGAGAGCAGCGCTGGGTGAAGGCCTTGTCACACAGGCTGCACTTGTAGGGCCGCACACCTGTGGACAACAGCGGGTGGCATCAGGACCTGACAGGGACTGTGGAGCCTGTCCGAAGCATCCGTACACACATAGGTCAGGACACCTGAGTGCCAAGTAACCAAGTGACTTGGGAATCAAGTCCTTGTCTATGAATTCAGGACTCTGCCCTAAGCTTCAGGATGTGCCTCCCAGGTCCCAGGCAGGTCGTAGGCATGCTCTCTGGACAGACTTCACTTACCAGTGTGGGTTCTGACATGTCTCTTGAGGTCAAAGGTGTCATTGAAGCCCTTTCCACAGTATGTGCAGAGGTGCCTCTTGACGTCATTGTGACATTTCATGTGTCGGTTCAGCATGCGCTGGTAGGTGAAGGCCTTCTGGCAGATGTGACAGGTAAAAAGGTCCCCATTTGGACTGTCCCCCAAGGTCACCTGTGGGTGAGGATGGTATTTGTGGCAGATATCTAGAAATCAGTGCTATAGGCTGGCAAGCCCTCTTCCATCCCCACAACACTCTCAAGAAAAGCAGGCCCACCCTTCAGAGCCAATAACCTGTGATGTGACATCTGCTAAGAGGAGATGCAAAGAACCTGTTGGGTCCCTCTTTTGAGACTGTCACCTCGAACTTCCCATCCTCCTGCCTTTATCTCCCAGGTGCCGGGGTTACAGGAGTGTGCCATTATGGCTCGTCCGCGAGGGGCTGATGGTTGAACTCAGGGTTTTGTTAACGCAAGGCAAGTCCTCTGCGCACTGAGGCAAATCTCCAGCCTTAGAAATAGTTTTCTTTCTTTGTATAAAAAAATTATTTTGGGGCTGGAGAGATGGCTCAGTGGTTAAGAGCATTGCCTGCTCTTCCAAAGGTCCTGAGTTCAATTCCCGACAACCACATGGTGGCTCACAACCATCTGTAATGAGGTCTGGTGCCCTCTTCTGGCCTGCAGATATACACACAGACAGAATAGTGTATACATAATAAATAAATAAATATATTAAAAAAATTGTTTTGTTTATGGGTGTTTCCCCTGCATGTATATGTCATGCCTGTGCACATGCCTGCCCAGTGCCCACGGAGGCCAGAAGTCTTATCCCTTGGAGCTGGAGTTACAGACAGCTGTGAGGGGTACTGTGGGTGCTGGGAATTGAACCCAGGTCCTCTGGAGGAGGGCTGGAAGACTGATGAGCCATTTCTCCAGCTCATCATTTTCTTTATTAACTACGGAAAATTTCAAATTTATGCAATGGCGGAAAGACTAATGTCATGATTCTTTGTCCATTACCCGGTGCAGGTCTTACTCCATCTCTATTACCCTCCTGCTCCTTGTCTGGGTCATGTGACACACCCTGGTGCCACCAGACACTGTTTAGAGCGGCTGTGACAGCATTCTAGGTGTGACCACAAAGGTGTGGCTGAGTGGCCAGGGCTCTTCCTTGTCTCTGCTCACAGTGACTGGGCCCTGTCAGGGGCCTGCCACCAGCCACTCCTCCTGAGGTCCTGGACATCTGTCATACCACACTTCCGTTTGGCACCCTTCACTTTATCCCACTTTTGGTACTCGGAGAATTCCCTGTCTCTTGCCAATTAAGATCCTTTGAGCCAGGCAGTGGTGGCGCACACCTTTAATCCCAGCACTCGGGAGGCAGAGGCAGGGGGAACCTCTGTGAGTTTGAGGTCAGCCTGGACTACAGAATGAGTTCCAGGACCAGTCCTCTGTCTCCTATGTTGTCCTGTCCTGTGTTCTGCTCTCTCTCCCTGTAGGGATCTGAAGGGTAGAGGAAGGCCTGGCAAGGAGGATGAGCCCTAGTGACTGTGACCAACGCAGTCTCTTTGCTGCCACCCCCCAGTTATTCACCCCTGGCCTTTGCAGGTTAGGAAGAGAAGGGACAGAACTGTCCTTCCAGCCATAGCTAGTCAGAACACCCTTCCACTAGATCTCTGCTGGCAGGTGCTCCCAGGCCTTGGGGCTTTGGGACGTGTCCACCCAGCCCGGGCTGTTGGCTGCTTCCTCTCCTCTGTGACAAGCCATCTGTACTGCCTCATGTGGTGCTACAGAGCAGGAGAGAGGGTGGGGTGTGGGCTTCCCCTGTCCCGTGCACACCCTGCTCACTGCCATATACTTAAGGAACAGCAAACTACCCCACTGACCAAGACCTCTTGCTCCCTGCCGCCCATATTGGACTCTACAAGATGCAGCTGGGCCTGGCTCCAGCTTCTTCACCTTGAGACTTGGTGTAAAAGCACAGCTATTCTTTAGCTCTTCTGTCTTTGTGGCCAGAAATGGGAGAGATCACTTGCTGATATAGACTCCAAAGGGTTGGATGACCTCACTTCCTATCTGTTTCTTTTCTTTGTGTGCTCCAAGTGAGTCTCTGTAAAAGTCACAGTCCACGACTCGGATTGTTCCCCTGTGTCATATCTGTGCCCCTAATCTGTGGGTTAGACATGGCCTCTACACATGCCCCTGGACCTTGAGAAAGAATAAAAATTATTACCTTCATCTTGGTTCGTAGGAAACCCTGGTCTCTGCTCTGGGACTCTGTCAGATGGTTCACATCTTCAGGGGGTAGCTGGGCCACCACGCAGGGTCCTGGGGCCACACTATAGCTGGAGTTCCGAAGGCTCATGTCCAAAGCCAGAGGGCAAGAAGGGGGTTCGGCCACAGATGGCTCTGGTTCCCGGTAGGGTGGGGGTGGACAGAAGCCCAGGCTGACTGGAGAGAGAGAGAGAGCAGCCAGATTAGGGTGGGCGGAAAAGACCCATCAGAGTTCTAGGAAGATTCCCAAGCAAGAAGAAGACTAGAATCTGTGGCCTCCCTTCCTCCTGCTGCAGGCATGTGGCAGAGCAGGGCAGGTTCCTAGGCCCTCATATGCTGCACCTCCCTCCTGTCCCATTCAGGTAATTACAGGTGACGCCAGCCAAGAGCCACTGCCCCCTGAGTAGCTTCTCTTAGCGGAACTGGGAGGACTGAATTGCCCTGCCAATTATGCTGCGAAGTGTCTGCCTGCCACACCTGGGCCAGTCGCTCTGGATTCCAGCATGCCCTTACTCCTCTGGGGACAAAGGGCACCACTGGAGGCCTTGGCAGGAAAGGTTCCTTCAGACTCATTCAAGCCCTTGAATGGTTCCTGGCCATCTGGACCTTCTGGACCTCTTCTACAGGCAGACCTTTGGGGTTTGGGTGGTTCTAGCCTTTCCTCCCTGACCTGGCCAATCCCTGCTACTGTAGCCCATCAGGATCCTGGGCTCAGGCTGGGCACAGCTCTGTCAGCAAAGAGGCCAGGTGGGTGGAGAGGGAGGAGGCCAGGGAGCAGCAGGTGGATGCTCGTAACAGTCTCTGGGCGCCCTGCCCAGCGCTTACACAACCCTATTCCACTGCAGGACCGCTCACTGTGGCAGTCAAGCTGGGTGCCCTCCGGCAGTGCAATGGCATCACCGATACCTGGCAGCCCTTTGACAAGGCCACTCCCCTCAACAAACACCATGAATTCAACGGGCCAGGCCTACCAGGCTGAGCTGGGACCCTGAGCTAGTCCTTTATAGGACAAAGAAACACAGGGAGCAAGTCTCCAGGCCCGCAGAGCTGGGACAAGAAGTATAATTTTCCAATTAGTCAGTACAACCTAAGCTCTGTACTTAAAAACCTATAAATTAGGAAGTTTCCTAGTTTCAGAAGGAAAAAACTCAAGAGGGGGGCCTTGTACAGAAAGGATGAATGAATCCAACTGACACAGAACAGGATTTCAGGACCAAACCTATAAATTAGGAAGTTTCCTAGTTTCAGAAGGAAAAAAACTCAAGAGGGGGGCCTTTTACAGAAAGGATGAATGAATCCAACTGACACAGAACAGGATTTCAGGACCTCGAGCTATGTCCTCTGAATACTGTATTCCAAGCAAGAGATGTCAAATGTAGGGCAAGGACCCAGACCCAGGCTAATACTCTCACCTCTTCTGGGGGACTGCCAGGGTTGTGGGGGAAGGAAAATATAAAAGTACCTGAGTTTCGGGAGAGGCCCAGTTCTCGCCCCCTCAAAACACAACAAAGGTCTCACAGAGGGAGAATGCGCCTGCCTGCCTGCCGCCCAGAACCCGTTCTTCTAGCGCTGGCGTCCGTCTGTCCAGGGGGTGGGGGGACTTTAATGAGCCACCTCATTCCAGGAGTTGATTCACTAGCGCCTGGCCCCGGCCTGGCACCTGAGCTGGCATACCACCTCTCTCTGAGCCATGCTGACTGGTGTAGTGGGGCCTGTGTAACACCCAGGCCTAGGACCAGAGTAGTGGTGACTCTGGTACCCACTCACCAGACAGGCCTTGGCTGAAAGTCCAAAACTAGATGACAATTTCCGCTTCTCAGCCCAAGTAGAGGAAAATGGTACCACCACCATCCTCATCCTGTCACTTGAGGCTGGTGTGAGGGAGACTTCTGAAAGCCAGCCCGGCCACATGGCCTGGGTGGAGGATCAGCCTGTGAGATGAGCTGTCACACTTGGCTCCTTGGCCCTATGGAGGAAAGGCTGGGCTAGGAGTCTAAGGCTTCAGTCTGTTGTAGAGGACGAGCCCTGGCCTTTCTTTCCTCCTACACAAACCTGGGGAGGTTGCTAAGGACAGCAGACAGGAGAGAGCTGGCTAGGTGGGCACTCCACGCTGTCTCTACCCTAGCAAAGGGCCAATAAGACTGCCAGGGTGGGGATGTTTACCTCAATTTACCCACCCCACCAAACCTGTCTCCCTGCCACCCCCACAAGTGTGTCTCTACAGGGCTGCACGCACAGGGAGTATCCACTGGCATCCTCTCCACCTATCCTGAGTGCCACTGAATGGCAGGAGGCAGAACTGGTTGTGCCTTGCTGGTGCTCCTCTCTGTCTCCCTAATTAGATGTTTCCTGCCAGGCAGTGGCCACGGTGGCTACTACTCATTGCCCCCGCCCACAGCCACCGAGTGTGGCAAGGCCAGCTGGGTTAGCCCTCTCCCTCCTCCCTCAGGGTCTGGTAAGTTCTCTCCTGTTGCCTTTACCTGGTGATGTTACAGAGCTGGCCTGGAGCAGCAGACCAGATTTGAAAAGGCCTTACCCTCTGCAGGCCTCCTTTCTTTCAGTCATTGGCCAAAATACCAGGCAGACTGCCAGGTCCTAGCCCATAAAAGGCCTCAAGACAGGGCTGCACATAGGCCTGACCCTCAGCTTTCTGGGGAGAGCAAATTAAGTTGACGTATAGATGCCTGAATTTTCGGCTCCCCAGCTGACCTTACAAGTGCTGGTGTATGAGCGTGTGGACCAGCTCCGCTCTGAGTGTGCACACCCAGGCTGACTTTAGGCTGCCTTGTCCACTGATCTGGAAGGGCTGGGTCCCTTGTGTTCAGCTCTCTTAGTCCTGCGCTTGTCAGCCTGCCTTCACCTGAAAGGGACAGCAGCAGCCAGTGGGCAGGCGCTGCCGTGCCAGAGCACAACAGGCCTGCCTCTTCGCCTTTTGTTGCCCTTCCGCTGGTATCAGCGTTCTCAAGGCAGGAGCCGCTTCCTTTCCCAGTTGCTTCCCTTTCATTCAGCATCTGTGCTGAAGTTAGACTCAACTCTCGGCCCTCGTGCCAGGGGGCCGGGCCCTGAATGGACGAGGAGCCTACTTGCTGTGTGTGGGCTCCTTGCTCCTTCACCCTGTCACCCTGCACGGACTGGGAGCCACCTGCTTCTCATATGTTGTGCACTGAAAACGAACGATGACACAAATATCGACAATGGCTAAGCTGTGCTCCCTCCTCTCCTCCCCAAACCTGGAGCACTGTCTCCACCATCTTTTCTCGGACAGAGTAGCAGCATCTACCTTAGGACCTCCAAGCTTGGGTACAGAGCAGCTTGTGTGACAGTGTCTCATAAGACAGTTGCATTCCCAGCTGCTCTTCTATGCGTGTCCTGGCTAAATGACCCCCTCACTGCCCAGGGTGCTCAGCAGTCGCTAGAGTGCTCACGAAAGCTCAACCTTCCCACACATGCTACATGAACTGGGTGTGGGGGAGGCACAGCTGACTTTTCAGCCAGTCCTACTCAGCCTGGCAAGAACAGTCAGAGTCAGGCAGATCTCTGAGTTCAAGGACAGCCTAGTCTACAAAGTGAGTTCCAATACAGCCAGGGCTACACAGAGAAACCCTGTTTCAAACAACAACAACAAAAGCTGGTCAAGTCCCTGCACTGTCTAGAGCAGTGTCAGGCTGGACCATGTTGTCTGGAGGAATACCGACATTCCTGCACTTCAGCCTGCTTGATCCGGGTCTTCAGCACATTTGCTTGTTTCATTGAGACAAGGTCTCAGATGGCCTCAAACCTGTTAAGTGTCTGCGGCTGGCCTTGAACTCCAGATCTTCCTGCTTGCCCCATCCAAGTGCTGATATTATAGGTGTGCCCTGGATGTAGCTGCCAAGCTTTGGACATGTGCTGCCAGAACAGACAAGCAAGCCAGACTATTGCCAGAGGGGAGGCTTGGACGTGGGGGGCCTCAGAGCCTAGAAGAGGCTCCTGGAATTCTCCTGGAGTTCCAGTTTTCTGGCTCAGTCTGTCCCCAGGTCCCCTCCCGACTGTTGCTTCACTCAGCAAGGTCAAGCTGCAGAGAAACTGTCCCCGTATAGTCCCTTGGCCCTTTCACAGTGCAGGACTGGAATTTACCCCTGGCCAAGGGTACCTGCCTCAGCCTACAAACAAACCAAAAAATCCTCCCCTGTCACCACAGAGTAAACACACTACCCAACAGACTCTGGTACCAGGAGAGATGGTGGATGGAGAGAGGAGCCGAGTGAACCCCTAACCTGAGCTGTCTTCAATAGGGAATGGGGTCATTTCCTCACTTGCCTATCTTCCATTGTAGGCTCCCAGCTCTCAGCTGTGTCCTCAGCAAAGCTGAAGACGTGACCGCCGTGGGAGAAGACCCTCTGGAAGCTTGTGTAGGGAGCAAGGCTGACGTGATTGTGAAGGGCATTCCCAGGTCAGGCCCAGCATCACACCATCCTCAGTGTGTGGTCAACCTTCCCCTCCAGGTAGTCTCCATGATACTTTGAGGGTCTCAGGGAAGGTCAGAATGTACCCGCTCCCATGTTCCCCAGTCCTCCCACTGGGGATGGGGTCATTGCTTAGCTGATCAAAATGTGCCCCAAGAATCTGTGAGGTAGGGTGACAGAAACGTGCCTATCCACCTCCTGGGGTCATGGCTGGCTGGTGATGGAATGGCTCAGCCAGGAGACAGAACACACCCCCTGCACTCCAGTCATCTGAGGCACCCAAGCATGGACTGAGGCCATTCCCTTTTTCATTTCCAAAACTGTGGGAAAAACTGCGGCTCCAGTGGACCACCTAATTTGGAGAAGGAAAATCGAGTCCCGTGACTTCTACCCACAGGTCTGTCAGTCAATCAACGAGGGGAAGTTCTTCCAAGAGCTTATTTCCCAGCCTGGGCAATGCTGAGAGAGGGAGCGACTACCTGCACGGCTCCTCATCAGGACAGCAGTAGTGGGTGACAGCGACCACCCAGAGGCTGCCTAGCTCCTCGATGGGACAGGCTGTGGGGCCAGGTCTGTGGTCTTTGTGTCCCTCGGATCTGTGCTAACCCCGGGAAGTATTAATGATCTGAACAAGCAGAGTGTCTTTGTCCTTTGTGAAAGTCAACATATGATCTGTTACTGATTGGGATGTGAAATAAAACTAAAAATAACAGCACTCTGAGCCTGGCTCAGACATGGCTCACCTTTAGCATAGTCCAAGTTCAGTTTATCAGATCCCAAGGAGCAGCTAAGCAGCAAGTCAAACACAGGTTGGGGAGGAGGCTGGAGCAAGGAAGGGGCTGTGTCCCTCACTGGCCTTCCGGAGGTGGAGCACTGGACAATTGGCCAGAAAACTTAGCCAAGCAGAAATCACAAAATCCCAAGCCCATACCTCAGGTGAGGAGGCACCCTTCCCTTTTTGCCTCCTGTTTTCTCACATTGGGGATTCTAGGACCTTCTGGCCATTGACTTGTTTAAGAAGCCTTCAGAACAGCCTTACAGCCTCTTGAGATAAAGTTAAGTTGTAAGACATCCTACCACTACTGGATCCTGGCAGGTCTCACACAAAACACTCACATCCAAGACTCCAACAGCTTATTCAAGAGGGGAATTGAGGCAAGAACCCACACAGGGTCCTCACTCACCACCCTCATTCCCCCACTTTCTTAAAAGCCTGGGTGGTGCCAGAGAGCCTGCAGATCAAGGGTCAAAGTCGGTTGGTTAATTACCACCTCCCCCCCACCCCCGCTTGGAGGCGCAGGGCAGTACGCTCCTGCCCCACCCCCAAGGCCGGGGAAGGGGGGAGTTGAGAAAGCGCTTGCCTCCTGATCTAGGGATCTAGGGTTTTTGTATCAGGAGCAGAAGTGTCCTAGGGCTCAGGAGGAAGATGCTGCTGGAGGAAGAGACAACTCCACTTAACTAATTCTAAGATGACGCGCAGGCTGTCAAGGCGTCTTCCCTAAATAAACTAGGTACACCAGCTTCCTGGAGTGTGTACCTTAGGTGTGGGGTGGGCTCCAGAACTCTCTTTTGCTTAGTATCTGTCCTCTGCAAGGGTGAACAGAGGTGGGTCCCAACACCACCTTGTCTCAAGGGCAAGCAAGGTGCATCAGGTGTATTTCTCAGCAACTCCTGGACCATCAGGCTGGAGGCCAGGGAAACTCGGAGGCCCTTAACCTCGTCTCTTTTATCTTAAGCGAGCAGTGTTGTGGGGGCGACTAAAGCTCCAAGTTTTCCTTTACAATGTAGCCCAAGTCTCAGCGGAAACTCCAGCTCCTTTCCAGTCCCCCGCCCTCCCCACCAAAGTGGCATCGCTTCAGTGATCCTCAACTGCCTCATGAAAGAAAGTCCAGGTTTTCTGGATTTACGATGCGAGAGCCCGGGGTGGGGGGTGGGGGGCGCCCCAGAGCCGTGACACACCCCGCTGCATCCCTGGCGGCGCGGGCCTGCGATCCCTAGCCTGGGACATCGGCCGAGCCTAGACTTGGAGCCCTATCCGCCTCACCGTGCTCCTCCCGCGCCGGGGGTCGGCTTGCGGCGGGAATCCGCGTCCCCACGCGCACTGACCGGCGCCGACCGCTGGTCCGTGCGCCCCGCCCTCCCGGCGCCAGGAGCCCGCGCTGCCTCACCTGGCACGTAGATCTCGCCGCGCTCCTCGTCCGGGAGTTCGCTCCAGTTCCTCTTGCACGTGGAAACGCATGGCTTCTTCACCAGGAATGCGCGGGGCATCTTCGATCCCTCCTGGACCGGCACGGTTCGCTTCCGTAAGTCGAGTCCGGGTGGTCGTACCACCTTTTCTGGGCTGAGGCGCGGGAATGGGGACAGTTCAAGAAAGGAGTAGCCGAGGCGTGCCCACGTTCTGAGGAAAGAGAGTACCAGGGACCGCGCGTGGAGCGTCCAACTCCGCCGAAGGTCGCCGGTGCCCGCAGAGCGGGTGCAGCCAGGTGCACCCGGATGGAGAAGCGCCAAGCGAGCGTCCCCTGGCTCGACTGGCGTCCCTGCGGCAGCTCGCGAAGTCTTCAAGTGCGAGCTGGACGGACGGGTTCACGCTTTATTGGCTCGCGGCGGTGTGTTGGTGGCTCGGGCGGGGGTGGGGTGGGGGTGTTGATCTGATCTAATTAGCTTGGAGTGGCCGGGAGAGCGATGGCGCATGCGTTGGGAAATAACGGTGACAACCCACCTATTTGTTACCTGTCGAACCGGTTTCCATTCCGCTGCGGGTGAGGTGGCCTCGCGGCCCGGGCGGGGCAGCTCGACTGGGGTAGGAAGTGGGGGGACGGCCCGATAGGGGTGGGTTGGGGGGCGGGCTCCGGTACCCACACCCAACAGCACCCGACCCGCCCCGGACCTCCCTTGCCTGGCGTCCTCAGGTTTGCAAACTAAAGTTTCGGAAGGAACAGGCACGGGAAGGGAGGGCAACGTTATTTGCACCCTCGCTAGCACGCGCTCCGTGAGCGATGACATAAAACCCGCCCAACAGGCCCGGGCCCAGCCTGGCGCGCCCCGGGCACCCGGAGAGGTACAAAGCCGCCGGGCGGTAACAGGCGGCCCAGGCCCGCACCCAGTGGCCCTGGATCCCCAAGGCCGGGCTGAGCAATTCTTGGTTCAGCACAGAGGTATTTGCTGGGCACCGGCTTCCTGCGGGAAGGCACGCAAGACGGCAGGAGCGCGTAGACCAGGAGGCTCGGAAGCGCCCGTGAATTCAAATGCTCGAGCCTGCCTTCGGTTGTGCCGGCGTTTAAACCGCCCTGAGTCCAACTTAACTGAGGCTAGCGCCTTGGCATATAGGCGGACGCGTTCTTCCAAACTCAAAAATAGCCGGCTTTTGGATTCTGAAAATCTGTGAGAGACCAGGGGGATGAAGACCCCAGCTGAGGTGTGACCTAGTCCTCTTTGCCTGTTGCACCAGTATCCTCCCTGGGTGGGAACTCAACAAGCAGCTACTCCCCAGCTACTCCCCATCCACCCTTCTGTGTTCTTCAGTAGACCTGGTTGCAGTGATGCCCCACCCCCAGTGGACTGCCCGGGAGTGTTCCGTGGCCTTCATTCAGCCACTTCACTGTGACACTTTGGCCGTGGCTGAGTTTCTTTTATTGGCTGACCTATTAAAGGCGGGGATGGGACCTGAAGTTAAAGGCTACTAACATTTTAGACTCCAGACCTCAGTACAACTTTCTCACAGTGTTAAATGTTTGCTGGGACAGACTGTGAGGGAAATTAGTCTGATAAATGAATTCACACAGTTCAAAAGTCAGGAGGCACAGGTCGTAACCCAGCACGTGGGGAGCTGAGGCAGGAAAGCTGAGTGGTAGAGGCCAGCCTAAGTTCACCGTGAAACCCTGCCTCAAACAAAACAACAAGAGGCCAAAGAAATGAAGGCCCTGGAGATGGCTGAGAAGGTACTTGCCACTGAGCCGGAATACCAAGGTCAAGGCCCAGGACCCACATGGTGGAAGGGGATAACTGATCCCACAAATTGTTCTTTCACCTGCACAGACACACCGCGGAATTGGTGCCACGTACACAACTGCGCAAGAGAAGTCAAAAGGAAGGGGAAGTGGTTAGGATGGACTCGGAGGCTTTCAGAGGACATCTCAAACATGGAAATACTTGGAGAGACCCTGTACATCTCCCAGGATCTTTGTGAAGATGGGTGGGCGAGGGGAGACACATCAGCCTCCCTCTCACTGAGCAGGAAGTACTTTGACCAGGAGCCTGAACTCTCTATTCCTGGAGAATCGAATCGCCTACCTCACAGAGTTACTGGGAAAGTGCTGTGACCCTTAGGGCCATTAAGGTTTGCCACCTCCCCTTGCTGTCCCTGGAGAGCTGTCTGTCATAGTCCACTCTTCCCTTATCCACCTCTCATTCTGATCTTGGACCTTGCCCTTCAACTAACATTAAGTGAGCAACTACTGTATGTTTATCGTTAGCAATAAATCCTGGGGTAGCAACATGGATTGTCTAGGAGGCAAGTGAACTTAGCTTACTTCTCTTTCTTTCTTCATTATTATTATTATTATTATTATTAGTAGTAGTAGTAGTAGTAGTAGTAGTAGTAGTAGTAGTCTTTTTGAGACAGGGTTTCTCTGTGTAGCCTTGGTTATCCTGGAACTTGCTCTGTAGACCAGGCTGGCCTTGAACTCAGAGATGCCTGCCTCTGCCTTCCGAGTGCTTCCACAGTAGTCATTGAGCTCTTTTGTGGTGCCGGCCCAACAGGCTGGTCCCAGGGAGTGCCCAGGAGAGTCTATGTGAAGTCTTCACAGGTGACCCTAGATACAGAGCCAGGCTTTCTCATCAGACTAGTTTGGATGTCCAGAAAGCCAGGTGGGGAGCTAAACTGGGCGAAGCCAGCCAGTCCAGTGTCCCTGCTGGTACAGAGTCACTGTGAACAGAGCGAGGTTCAGGAGACCGGGGACTTTGTGCCCTCTCAGCTGCTGCAGCTCTCGTGGGATAGCAATACTTACGGAATGAATAGTCTTTACATTTTTGCTTATCTCTTTTGTATGTATGAGTGTCTTGTCTGCATGTGTTTCTGTGTCTCACATGCATGCCTGGTGTTTGAGAAAGCCAGACGTGGTCATCAGATGTACTGAGATTGGAGTGGCAGGTGGTCGTGAGTGGCCCCGTGGGTGCTGGGAATGGATCTCAGGGCCTCTCGAACAGCAACAGGTGCTCTTAACTGGTGAGCCATCTCTACAGCTACTCCACCTTATGTTTTAAGAGGGTTTCTCTCCATCAGGCGTGGTGGCACAAACCTTTAATTCTAGCACTTGGGAGACAGAGGCAGGTTTTTCTGTGAGTTCAAGGCCAGCCTGGACTATATAATGAGTTCCAGGAGAGCCAAGCTATGTAGAGAGACTGTCTCAAAAATTAAAAAGAAAACTTAAAAAGATAGGTCTTCTCACTGGACCTAGAACTTGTGGTCTCAGCTGGACTGGCTGAACGATGAGCTCCAAAGATTTTCTAGTCTCCAGCCCACAGCACAGGGTTTCAGGTACACATGGGTGCTGGGGATCAGAACCCAGGTCCTCTTGCTTGCTCATCAAGCATTTTCCCACTAAGCCATATGCTAACCCATAGAATAGGGAAGGATTAACTGGGGTGTTGTGATGGTGGGGTTGCTGAGGTCTGAATGAGAGGTGGGAGCCAGCTGGACAAAATGGCCAAGAGCACAATCAGAACGAAAAGGTGGCACCAAGGTCCATGGTAGAAAACAAATCTAGTGTGTGCAGCTGTGGTGGCTGGATGCTGGGAAGGAGGGAAGCTGAAAGATGGGACCATGGCATGACCTGTGATGCTGGAAGGAGGAGCAGGAAGGTGGCATAAGGAGAGCAGGGCTGTGTTGGAGCTACTGCAATGGTCCAAGTAAGAGATGGTGGCTTGAGCCACAGTGAAAACCAAGCCATGAGTCAAGTATCTTGAATGATATCACCTGTTGGTATAGAAGACAAGAGAATGAAGGGAAGTGGAGCCACAGCCAGCAAGGACTATGATACCCAATGTGGGCTGTCTGAATATGGTGCTCAATCCCCATCCCAAGGAGCCTGAGGAGTTAGTTTCCGGGCACTGGATAGTGAGTAGAACTACTCCTTCCTGTTATCACAGAAGTTCTTAGGAGCCAGGATAGGATGGAGACGTGGAAGGGGCTGTGAACCTGGAGGCTAAAGCACAGAGGATCATGGGAGATACATGCTGAAAAGACACAGAAAAGAATACAGCTGCAGTCAGTGCCTGTGGATCTGGGCCAAGTCATCTACCCTCTCAGGCTCCTAGTTCTAGCTCTGACCTTTGGCAGTCGAGATTCTGGAGAATGACTTTTGCCTGGGAGACAGCAGCTCTGCCATAGGCAGCCTTTCAGAGCGGGTTGATGGGGCCCTTTGAAGTCACCTGAGCAGCTTCCCCCTGCACCCCCTCAGCCAAGACAGGTGTCAGACATCCCAGGTTGGCCTCTACCTCCCTGTGTGACTGAGGATCATGTTGTTCCTCCTGCCTCCATACCCTGCCACCCAGCAGCTTTTCCAGACTGGTTGGGTAATAGACCCATGGAATCTGCAAAGCTCCTGATAGGGGGCCACCCCTAGCCATATGGCAAAAGGCTGGGGACCATGGCAGAGGAGATGGTTTTTAGCCAAGGTCTGTGGAGTGGAGCTGGTTGCTCTTGGTGGGTACCAGAGAATGGGGAGAAACTCCACCACAGCAGCCACAGGTCCCTCTGCC